TGGCTGTGAGGCTTTGGGGAGAAGACCCCAGCGTGATGACAAGTGATAGGTTTGGTGGTGGCCCATCATGGAATCCATCAGCTATGTCAGCTCTGCATCACCCCACTGGCCTTTGAGACACTGGCAAAAGGTCCTTGAAGAGGGTCTCAGTTGCTCAATGGATTTTCCAGAAGCAATGCCAGTGAGTGGGAACCCCATCAGTAAACTCAGAGGGTTTTCTGGGTCTCCATCAGGCTCCTTGGTTGGGTTGTTCTCAAGGCTTGATGCACAGGCTGCCCAGGGCAGTGGTCACGGCCCCAAACCTGCCAGGGCTCCAGGAGGGTTTGGACAACGCTCAGGGACAGGGTGGGATTGTTGGGGTGTCTGTGCAGGGCCAGGAGTTGGAATGGATGGTCCTTGTGGGTCCCTTCCAGTCAGGATTCCATGATTCTATGATTTGGGATGTTCCAGTGGTGTGGGAGGAAAGGAGGGTCCTGGTCAACGAAAGGGACAATGTAGGAGCTCAGGCACAGAAGTTCTGCAGGTTCCTGCAATATTCCTCCTGAAAATCCTCCCCCTCGTTTCCAGTGGCTCTGAGTCCTGGATCCAGTGACCCTGAACACCCTCCCTCTGTCTGTAATTAAAGGCCAAGCAATTGCCCATTGCTCCCGTGTCTGTGTTTATTACAGAGGAGCTTAGTGGAAAACTAATTCCCTGCCTCAAAGGCATCCTTGGACAAGGGGGAAGGGACGTGCTTCAATCCCAGGACTTCTGCATTTGTCCTTCCCATCCCAGACTGGCTTTGTGCCTGTTCCCCTTCTCGTCTGGGGGCTGCAAACCCCGAGGGAGGCAGCACAACTGAGGAGAGACACTGCTGGCAATGACTGGGGGCTCCACTCCTGTCCCACCCCTGCAGCACAGGGTGGGCAGGGGGACCCCCACACCTCCCAGCACCCTGAGATCTTGGAGCAGCTCCTCAAAGCTCCCAAAACACAAGGCTGGGATGTGCTGGATGGCAGCTGGTGTCTGAGGGGAAGGGCCCTGTGCGCCTTAAATCCCATCCAAGAGCACCCCAGGGTGCCAGAGGCAGGACAACCCCATGAACCAGGGGGTTGTCAAACCCCAAACCATCACCCCAAAACCACACCTCGTGCCATGGCTGTTTGCCTGCACCAGGCAGGGCTCTGGAGATGAGGTGCTCGATGAATTTAGCTGGTTCTCCAAGCACAGAATCGATTATTAATTATTATTAATTGCTGTAATGTGGGTTTATCCATGAATTGCACGGCTCAGGAGCAGCAGGAGCCCTGCTGGCTGTGCCCACGGCTAAGCTGGAATTGTCCCAGATACAGTCACATGAGAGCATTTGTTCTCCAGGGTGGGAGGGCACCCCTGGCAAGCTGCTCCTGGCCCTGCTCTCCCCAGCCCTATAATCCCCCCGGGGTGGGCAGGAATAGTGTCCTTGACCCCTATCATGGGAGAGGGGAGGTGCCCTCTCGTGCCTCGGGGGTGCTGAGTGAGGCAGGAGAAGGAACAGAGGGGTAGGCAGAGGAAAATAAAGGTGTTTTATGGGGATGCACGAACAAGGATGCTCCCAGAAGTGGGACACGGGGTATTCTGCTGTTGGGGTGGCTGGAGGCAGCCCCATATCCCCGGGCTCCAGCAGCATCCCACATCTCCCAGTCCTCGTCTTTCCCTGTGTGCAGGGTGACAGAAAACCAGCCTGTCCTGTGGTACCCCGGGGCTGTCAGAGCTCTGTCACTCGTGGCACTGCTGTCACATCACTGTCACATCGCCGGGACACGCAGGACCCGGGGCAGATCCCGCTGGCCACAAGCCCCCTCCCGAGAAGGGGATGTCGAGGGGCTGGTGCCGGGGGTGGTGGCGGTGGGGTGGCCTCTGCTCACCAGCAAAAGCCAGGCGTGGGGACACCCCTGCGAGGAGTTTGGGAGCCCTCTCCCTCCTGGCAGCCGGGAGCGGGCAGGGACCGAGCCCGGTCCCCGTCCCCGGTGTCCGGAGTGTGAGCACCGGTGTCACTCCGGCACTGCCACCTGGTGGCATCATCAAAGGGACCAGGGGACAGTGTCGGGGGGACAGTGATCCCTCCAGGGTCCAGGGGAGGGTTTCTGCTCCTGGCAGACCAGCGGGCTCACGTGCCTGCAAGAGGACAGCAGGACCAAGGGGACAAACACCCGTCCGGCCAATTCGCCCTTCCCGGGGGGACGGGGACTGAGGGACATTCCTGCTGCCGATGTCACAGGGCTCTGATATCCAGCCAGGAGGAGATGGGAGCTGCCGGAATGCCCACCCGCACCTCCGGTGGGCCGTGCTGGAGCCAGTCCATCCTGTCCCCGAGGCTGCCGGCGCTGCCAGGCCCGTGCCCGCACACGGCCGGGGCGGGGTGTCCGCGCACACCCCCCGGCGCCTCCGGAAAGGAGGAGAAACCTGAGACCCCATCTGAGATCAGAGAGCAGCTTTTGGGTGCTGATCTCGCCTGTTGCAGGACCGTGCAGAGCCAGCAGCTTTTGGGAGCCCCACGGAGGCTCAGAAAAGCTTTTGTTAATTTGTGCCAGCTGCTGATCGGGGGCCAAACCCCGGAGCTTTACCTCTGGAGCAAGAAGCGTGACACCCTCCTCTTCCTCAAGGACACAGGGGACGTGCTGCCCCAGCCCTGCGCCCCCGAGACTGTCACTGCCACATACTCATGTACTTTCCTGCTGTCTAAATTTAGGGTCTGGAAGTGGGCTGGCGTGTCCTGGGTTATCTCGGGCACTGAATTATGTATGTCAGCGACAGAGCAGCACTCACTGCTCCGGGGGGATGTGCCAAACCCTGGCTGGGCAGGAAGAGCAGCCCCCTCACTCAGGGTCTGGCCCTGCAGGGGGAGTGGGTTCGGACTGCTGAGGCTGATGGTGGTGCTGGGGATGCTGGAAGTGATGGGAATGCTGGAAGTGATGGGAATGCCTGAACTGGTGGGTCTGCTGGTGCTGGTGGGTCTGTTGGGAGCTGGTGGAGCTTCTGGAGCTGGAAGCTGTGTTGTCAAATCCAGCAAGAAAGGCTCCTATAGGAGACAAAGGGAAGACTAGGGAAAATATATCTTGCTCCACAAGATGGGAAACCTGGTGCCACAGGACCAGGGACTGAATGGTGCTTTTGGCTCTTTACTTGCCAGACTGATCTTTAGGAATACCAGGTCCCAGATGATCAGAGATCCCATGAGGAAAGGCTGGAGCAAGGAAGACAGAACCCTTGGTGGAAGAGGATCAGGTCTGGGCATATTTAGGCAAAGTGGGCATACTTTAGTCCTGCAGTGGCACAAAGTCCAGTTGGAGGCCAGTAACCAGAGTTCTACTCCAGAGGTCTGTACTGGTTCCAGTCCAGTTTAATTAATGATTAATTAATTTAATTCATGATCTGGGTGATGGGGCAGTGTAAGCTCAGCCAGCTGGCAGATGACACCAAGCTGGGAAGGGAGGCTGATACAGCAGGGGATCATGCTGCCAGCCAGGGGAGGTCCTACAGGGTCTGCACATGCACCAGCTCCAGATCAGCCACCAGCTCCAGCACATCCACCATCCCAGAATCCCAGAAGGGCTGAGGCTGGAAGGCACCTCTGGAGTCCATCTGGTCCAATTCCCTGCTCGAGCAGGGCCATCCAGAGCCATTCCCCAGGACCGTGTCCATATGACATCTCTCCAAGGATGGAGACTCTGCAACCTCCCTGGGCAACCTGGGCCAGTGCTCAGTGAAAACAGTGTCTCCTGATGCTCAGAAGGACCCTGCTGGGCTTCAGTTTGTGCCCGTGGCTGCTGGTCCTGTCACTGGGCACCACTGAAGGCGTCTGGATCCGTCCTCTTTGCACGTTCCCTCCAGGTGTTTATAAACACTGACAGGATCCCCCTGAGCCTTCTCCAGGCTGGTCAGTCCCAGCCTTTTAGCCTTTCCTCACATGTAGGATGCTCCACTGTGGCCTTGGTCAGACTCTCTCCAGTAGGTCCGTGTCTCTCTTGTCCTGGAAAGCCCAGAACTGGACACAGCTCTCCAGGGATGGCCTCACCAGTTCTGATCACTGGGTCCCTCCCTTGATCTGCTGGCAGAGCTTTGCCTGGTGCAGCCCAGGACACCATTTACCTTCTCTGCAGCAAGGGTACATTGCTGCCTTGTGTTCCACCTGGTGTCCACCAGCACCCCCGGGTCCTTTCTGCAGAGCTGAGTGGTCTCCATCATATATTGGAGCCTGGGATTTTTCTTTCCTATGGGGCAAAACTTACTTTGCCCTTCTCCTTGTTGAACTTTAGGAGGTTCCAATCAGACCTCCAGGGCCTAAAGGGGCTCCAGGAGAGCTGGAGAGGGACTGGGGTCAAGGGATCAGGGACAGGACAAGGGGGAATGGCTTCCCACTGCCAGAGGGCAGGGCTAGATGGGATATTGGGAAGGAATTGTAGGCTGTGAGGGTGGGGAGGCCCTGGCATAGGTTGCCCAGAGAAGCTGTGGCTGTCCCATCCCTGGAAGTGTCCAAGGCCAGGCTGGATGGGAATTGGAGCAACCTGGGCTATGGAAGGTGTCCCTGCCCATGGCAAGGGGTGGGAACGAGATGGGATTTAAGGTCCTTTCCAACCCAAACCATTCTGGCTTTCCATGATCCCTTCCCGCAGGCTGTTCTGAGCCCCGGCTGGGCCCCCACCCGTCCCCCCCAGCCCTGGGGGTGTCCCAGAGCCCCCGGCCCGGCCCGAGCTCGTGGTGTCCGTGGGGCCCTCTGGGCGGTAACCAGGGATGGGGGTCCGGGGGGGAAGGGACGGAGGGAGTTGGCGAGGGGATGGGGGGATGGAGGGAGATGGAGGAGGATGGAGGGGGATGGAGTGAGGACGGGGTGGGGGCATGGAGAAGCAATAGAGAGGCCCCCCCGAGGCCGGGAGGAGCGCGGATCGTCCCTCTCCTGCCCTCCCCGCCGCCGTAAGGGCCGCCCCGGGGGAGGCGCGGCCGGTCCGGGCGGAGCCGAGCGCGGAGCCGGCGGAGGGGAGCGGGGAGCCGGGAACAGGAGCCGGGAACAGGAGCCGGGAACAGGAGCCGGGGGCCGGCTTGGGAGCGGCGGCGGCAGCACGATGGGGGCCTGTCTCGGGGTCTGCTCCCTGCTCAGCTGCGTGAGTGCCCGCCCGCAGCGGGGGGACCGGCGGCACCGGGGGGTTGCGGGGCCGCAGCGGCGGGCGCGGCCCGGGCAGGGGGAGCTGCGGCGGCTGCGGGTCCGGGGAGGGTCCGGGGGAGGGACCAGGGAGGGCGGAGGGACATCCCGGGGCGGAGGGGTCCAAGGGGTGCCAGGAGGGTGCCCCGCGCTGTACCCGGGAGAGGCAGGGCACCCCCGGGAGATGTGCCCGTGTATATGGGGGGATGCAGGGACCCCCGGGATGCGCTGTGGATGCAGGGGACCCCCTGGGGATGCATCCCTGTATATGGGGGGGATGCAGGGGACCCCCTGGGGATGCATCCCTGTATATGGGGGGGATGCAGGGGACTCCCAGGATGCCCTGCGGATGCAGGGGACCCCCAGCAGGTCCAACCCTCAGCGCATCCCTCCCTGGGGGATGTGGGGGTTACCCAGAGCAGGGCATCCCACAGCACCCAGGGGTGTCCACGGGAGACGCAGAGGGTTCACCCCAGGGAACTCGGGGGCTTAGGAATGTCATGATTGAGGGGAACATGGAGGGGAACGGGGAGGGTGGTGCACTCCTGTGCACCTGGGGGATGTGGGGAGCCAGAGCAGTGATGCCCCTGCTGCACCTGGAGGAGTGGGGGGTCCTGGCCCCCCTGCCCTGCTACCCTGGGGGGTGCAATGAGGGGCTGGGGGCCTTGCCTGGGTCTCATTGCTGAGCCTCAAACTGGGGGACTGGGGATGGACTGAGAGAAGGAGCTGGAGGGGGGGCTGCAGGCTCTGTGTGGGGTGCCATGGGCCAGGGCAGGGATCTCAGGTGCCATGGGCCAGGGCAGGGATCTCAGGTGCCATGGGCCAGGGCAGGCTCAGGGGTGTGATCTGGGGTGCCCTGCAATGCTCAGGTGTGTGATCTGGGGTGCCCTGCAATGCTCAGGGTGTGTGACTGGGGTGCCCTGCAATGCTCAAGCTGTGTGATTGGGGTGCCCTGCCGTGCTCAGGGTGTGTGATTGGGGTGCCCTGCCGTTCTCAGGGGGTGTGATTGGGGTGCCCTGCCGTGCTCAGGGGTGTGATTTGGGGTGCCCTGCCGTGCTCAGGGGTGTGATCTGGGGTGCCCTGCCATGCTCAGGGGTGTGATTGGGGTGCCCTGCCGTGCTCAGGGGTGTGATTTGGGGTGCCCTGCCGTGCTCAGGGTGTGTGATTGGGGTGCCCTGCCGTGCTCAGGGTGTGTGATTTGGGGTGCCCTGCCGTGCTCAGGGTGTGTGATTGGGGTGCCCTGCCGTGCTCAGGGTGTGTGGTTCCGGGTGCTGTGCCCTGTGACGCAGCCCCTGCCCACGACTGGCATTGCCTTCCCTGTTGGTGCCTCACCTGTGGGCACGGGGCCAAGGCAGGGCTGTGGAACCAGCCCAGGAACTGCCGGCCTGGAAACCTGGGAGCAGGGCCTGTTGTGCAACTTGACCTCAAAGTGTTGGAGGTTTAATGAACAGGAACTTTTGAAATGAGGGATCAGTTGGAGGATGGTCTGCAAGGCCTCCCCCTGTAACACACTCCAAACTTTTCCTCATGGACAAGTACTGGGAAAGCTGGGAGTTACTCCAGTCCAGGGGTGTGGAGTTTTCTGGCCTAAATCTGGACTTTTTTCCCCAAAAAACTGTTCTGTTACCCAGCCTGTGGTAACAGAGTAGAGCAACTATATAAGTTTAATTTAATTCTCCTGTTCCTTCTGGTGGAGGTGGTTGACTCAGGGGCTGTTTTAGTTCTGAACTGAAGAACCACGAGACAGAAAAAACACAAACCAAAACCAGATACCCCCTCCCCCCAATGTGTGTAATTTTTTTTTTTAAATTTTATTTTTAACAAGAACATCTGAACTGACTCCTTCAGCTCTGCCTGCAGCATTTGAGTCACAGCAGCATCAGATTGCCAAGCCCTTTCTTCTTTCCCATTAAAACTCTAGAAGTTGTCCCTGAGTGAAAACACTTTGGAACACACAACAAAAATTTCCCTTTTCCTGTGACTTGCCCTGGAAATCACTGGAAAATCCAGTGATTTTCCAGATTCTGCCCACAGTGGTCATTGTTCCAAGCTGTCTTCCTGGGGGGGACAAGGTTGGGGCTGCCCAAGCCAACACAAACCCTGGGGGCTCAGACGTGGTTCGGGCACCTCATGGGCACAATCAACCCTGTGACACCAACCCAAAGCCAGCTGCCAGGCAGGAGAGCCACCAGCTCCCCCAGCCCTGGGGGTTTGGTACTGATTAACCTGCCTGGTCACGGGGTTGGCAGGAGATAAACTCTGGTTGCTCGGCGTTGCTTTGGGGTGACTCAGTCCCCGTGTTCCTGGGATTCCTGGGGTGACTCAGTCTCCGTGTTCCTGAGATTCCAGGGTGGCAGAAGCTCACGGGGGGGTTGCTGGGGTGGTGTTGGGTGGGTGTTGTTGGGGTGGTGCAGTTGGGTGGGTGGTTTGGGGTGGTGTTGTTGGGGTGGTGTTGGTGTAGTTGGACTGTTACAGGTGGGCTGGAGGAGCTGATCTGGTGCAGTTGGGTTCATGTTGTGTTTCCCTGCCTTGCCTGGCCCTTGCCATGCTCCCAAATCCTCCAGGAGAGGAGGGAGCAGAGCAGCCCTTCCACGTGGGTCATGCTGGAGGTGAGCTGGGTCCCATGAGGAAGTTGATAGTGAAACTGGAGACATTAATCATTCAACTGCAGCAGCTGAAAACCAACCCTTCCTCATTAACCCACCCCTTCACTGCTGCAGCCACCTCCCTCCTTGCCTTTTTCCACCCTGCTCTTTGGCCCTGGGCCATGTTCACACTTATGGGCATCTCTGAAAGCCTTTGGAAGGAGAATCAGAGCGTGGCCAGCACTGCTTAACCTGGGAAGGTTTTCTTGCTCTTAACCCACTTGCTTTTTAAAGAAAAAGGCTGAAATCACGAGGTGCCTGGGCTGCAGGTCAGGGCAGGGTGTGGCACAGAGGGTTCCTTTGCTTCCTTGCAGAGGAGTTTTGAAGGAGGTGGCCAGAAAGGGCACCAGGAGCTGTTTTCATGGCTCCTGGTAGCACAGGACTCTCGTGTCTCTGCTTCATGGAGCAGGTCAGTGGGGTGGGGATGTTGTACCCCATCACCTCAGCAGCTGAAAGGGCCTGTGAAAACTGAAATACAGCTGTGCAGTTTGACTGTGGAAGAGTCATCCTTGGAAATAAACCCCCAATAGGCTCCAGGGATGCTGCAGGCTCCCAAAAAACTCTAAAAAACCTGTTGGAGTGAGTCCAGAGGAGGCCCCGGAGATGCTCCAGGGCTGGAGCCCCTCTGCTCTGGAGCCAGGCTGGGAGAGCTGGGGGGGTTCCCCTGGAGAAGAGAAGGCTCCAGGGAGAGCTGAGAGCCCCTGGCAGGG